CGATCTAAACGATGTCGAGCGATACTGCGCGATCAACGTGATACTTGAAAATGCGCTAAGTAAAAATTTCCGGGACGCCAATAATACCGCTGTTCGATTAGTTACTGCGTGCTAGCCAACGTGAGGTTGTTACAGTCACCACCATGTAACGCGTATATCCACACGTTTCGCATCCGAACAACAGCATAGGAGATAAACGCTTCGAGATGGATGTCCAACACGCCACCTTGAGAGAAAAAATGGCTTTCTAGCACGTCGTACGGAAAAGGAGCGTCCAGTAAATGAGCCAAAACATAGCACGACACGGGGAACGGACTACCGAACACTACGCATTGCGTCGGGACCTTCATAAATAGATGGCGAGCTTTGCGCATTCGAGTCCAGGTGGGTATTTTCTTCTGAGATTTGGTAACACCGTGAACAAAGTAGCAGCTTAGCATCAATCCGAGACCACGTAACAAGAAGTAGCCTTGTCCGATGCTTCTCAGAGCTGCCACTACTTTATACCACTGCACAACGTCCGAAGATAATAATCCGGTTTCGTATCGATAATCTTCGACGAAAACTGTTTCGCAAGAGCGGGTTGTTCCTTTGCCAACACAGTTTCGAGCACGTACGATGGCACTCACATCCGAGCGTTTGAACCCGAGGGACGTGAGTCCTCCTCGACATATTTGCATGTCTTCTTGACTTTCTAAAAGTGTTAAATCCAATGTTGCGTTCGGAAAGCGACGCTGGACGTCACGAACACGTGTCATGGTGTGTACGTGCAGCAACCCAACACTTCTGCCTTTAGCGTCATCAGGAGCACAAGATCCTTCAAAATTTGTCCAGAGCTCATGACAAAAACGCGGCATTCGGATCCTGTTCCCAATAATCGGGAAACAAATAAAACGAGCATTTGTCGTTGCAAGTAGCTCTGGAGAATAATACAATGCCTGGTTGGTGCGCCAGTTAATGTTGATAAACCATGTCGGCAATATAAACTGGTGAAGTCGATCGATATACTCGTTTTCTGAGCGTAGCGTCAGTCCCACCGGTCCGGATTGGAGTCCGAAATCTCTGTTTATCCTTGATATGACGTCCACAAGAGAGTCGATCATCCGGAATGCCACCTCGCCGCTAAAACTCTGTGTGGGGCATTGACTAGTGTACAAGAAACAATTCGGAAAGTCTGGAGCTGACAAGAAACGTGCAAATGCTCGCCACGTGATCGAAGTCGAGTCGTACTTGTAGCTCCATACACGTGCTGTTGTGCTGCCTTTTCTGGCTTCCTCTTCGGTAGACGCAAACACTAAATAGTTCCACGATGTATCAAAACTTACCACTTCGTCTGGCTGCAGTGATGGGTACACATCTTGAAGATTTGACACGCCCACACCGGAGCGTAAGACGTCGGAGAAAACGAGAGCTAGCGACACAGCTCCGATGAAGAACCGCAGCCACGAGAACGGGAGATGGCGCTCGAACACTTTGTCACGCGCATCGAGTTGTCGGGCATGAGTCTTCTCAATGAGAGCAGCTGGAGTGATCACCTTCTTCCAGCTCAACGAGTGCTTCTCTGCATGACGTGAAGCCCACTTGGATAAAGCCATCAGCGCGCGAGTACCATCTCCACGAGTCGGAGTTACCCGAACGGGGGCCATCACGAGACTGAATATTAAAATAAAACATGCACAAAAGAGTCTACTTGGACACTTGATAATTTTAGCTCACCTCGAGATTGTCGCTTGTCCGTTTCAAGCCGGAACAAACGAGATATTATTGCTACAGTACCCCCGTCTCCATCCAGCGTCTTATCTTTTAAGAGTGCGTTGTTTTTCGGCGTGCACAACAATCTTTTCATCTCGCGACAGACCCTTGCGCTTACGTACCGCTTCGATGTATCGTCTCACGTAGTTGTGTTCGTAGACGCGTTCGCCAAAGTCCTCTCGCTCCAACTCTGTCTGCGGCTGGAAGAACGGGTCCATGTCGATGATACTCCAGTGTGAGAAGATGAGTTGTGGGTTACTAGCAGCTCCTGACGTCTGGATCAACAGGTCGGTGGCAAAGCCGAAGCTTTCCACGACTGGCAAGTGAGCTTTCACAGTGAATAGCGCTGTCCCATCGGACAACTCTTCCGAGTAGATATCGCCTCGTCGCTTCGAGATGACACTGTACAACTTGCCGAGCTGCTCGGCTTGACACTGCACTGTGCACTCATACACAGCCTCTACTAACCGCACAGGCTGCTTCACAAAGGACATGAGGCAAGTGGTCCGCATAATGGAGATTACCTGTCCGCTAAGCGGTCCGTACTTGCTCGCCTCTTCATCTGACACATCGTCGCTTTTCTCATGGAAAACGACGTCTTCAACGATGAACGCGACGCCCCATACCGGTTCATCACACAAAGGTCCAGCCGAGGAGGCCATCTGGAAGCCCGTCACGATGCTGTTCTCCAGTTTCCGGATCTGCTCTGCTTTCTCTGAGTCTTCAACTTGTGTTGCGTATGACGGGAATAGGCAGCCAGTCGAATGGTATCCTGGAATGTTGTTGATCAACATGTTCGGACCTACTCGTCGAGGGCCACAGCTCCAAATCTGGTGCATTGGTAGCGACTTTAACAAGCTGTGGTCACTCAATTGGAGCGATTTCTCCAATTTTTTCTGGAAAGCCGCGATATCCTGTGCAGCAGCTTCCAATTCCAGGTCAAATTCCTTGGTTTCTGTCTCGTCTGTGGGTTTCTTGGTGTGTGTGATACGTTTCAACAGTGGCGCATTTTCTTCCAATAGCTTTGCAGTGTCAAGAGGCAATGGGAGTGCACGCAGCTTTAGAGTCAGCGTGCCATCCGGAGTTGTTCCCAACGCACGTTTCGGATCTTGCGTATCAGCGTAGTGCTCGTCTTTATCAAGAGCGTCCTCCTTGCTTGTATCGGGATTGAGAAGGTCTTTGAACACGATGTGCTCCTGGAACGAAGAGATCGTTCCGTTCACGATACTTTCCCGAAAACCCACCAAAGGCTCGGAGACTTGCACTGCGACTTTTGCAAAGCGATCCTTCAAATCCTTGATACATCGTTCCAAGTGAAGCTCTCCCAGTGCAACAATAACATGTTCGCCAGTCTCCTGCACGTGGACTTCGACGGTAGGATCAGATCGATACAAACGCTGTAGACCAGCTTCCAGAGCGCCAAAGTGGCGCGGATCTTCAGGTTCCACGGCCACACGGACAATCGGCTTGGCTTGATACGGCATCTTCGTCAACGAAGGACACGCCAGGGTTGACGACAACGTCGCCGTCTTCAAAACATGTTCCTGAAGACCGACAACACCGACGATATTACCAGCAGGAACACGATCCAGCTTGTGTAGATCACGTCCCATCATCATGTACGGCTTCACCACCCCGCTGTCAATACGTGTGACGTGTTTCACCGTATTCAAGTCCACTGTATCCACATCCACGTCTCCAGATACGCCTTGGAACTTGGGATCCATCACATACACCGGCTGGCCTTCTCGAAGCACACCAGAGTACACCCGACCCACGCCGACATAGACCTCGTCTGTAGCAGCCAGTCCGGACTGGTGATAATCCGATAACACATTGGCCTCCACTGAAATGACCTTGCAAATGTAAATAACAAGCGGCGCATCATCCGAAGTCTGACAGGATTGCAAAGACCGGAAGACTTGAAGCGATTTGTCGGACGAGATCGTACACAACTTGTCGGCGCGTTTTACTTGAGCAGCCACTGGACTCGGTAGAACGCGCGTCACCATCTTCAACACGGTCGTAGACAACGGCAGCCACTTCCTCATCACCGCTTGAGTCGCGTTCTTCCGGTCCGTCTGCTTCAGATCACGATCCGAAACCAGCTTGGCAATCCGAAGTTGTCGTGTGAGTTTCCGTAACACGTCCAAGTCCGCATCCGACTGCACCGGCTTCGTCATCGTCGTATACGTCGTCCAGATCAAGTCGAGAATGAACGAACAGAACATCGTCTGGCTACTAGACGTGGGCGGTTTGCTCACGATCTTCTTGCTCTTGTGGTTGTAGTAGTACTCGCCCCACAATGCTTGGCGCATCACACGTACAGGCAGCTCTAATTTCTTCGCATACAAAGCTGCAAAGTATCCGATACCAAAGGCCCAGCCGTCGGTAGCACTAGCAAAGATAACGTTACTGTTCGATGGAGAGAACAGCATTTCGTTCTCTAATTGCTCCGTCTCGTTGGAAATCACCTCGTCATCGGTGTCTGCGTCGATTGTACCGTTCTCGTCTCCAATAGAAGCCTCTTGGTCGTACTTCTCGAGTACATCCATCCTGATCATGGAGCTCAGTACTGCGTTGGCCTGTTCTAAGATGCGATTGAGTCTCTGATAAGCTTCCATGGGCGAGAATTGCAGCTCGAAGATCAGACGATCCATCTTGTTAATAACTAGACATGGACGGATGCCTTCCTTCCAAGCTTGACGGATAACAGCGTGTGTTTGCGCGCATACTCCTTCTACTGCGTCAATAAGCACCAAGGCGCCGTCACAGAGTCGAACTGCAGTGGATACATCGAAGGAAAAGTCCACATGGCCTGGAGAGTCCACGAGATTGATGAGATACGGCGCTTCCGGATCTTTGTCGGCTGTAAGCTCGGGTTGGTACACTAAGGAGATAGCGCTGGACTTCATGGTGATGCCACGCACTTGTTCCTCCTCCGTGTTGTCCAGATATCGCACCTGTTACCACATGGGTACATTTTAGGGGTACACTTGGGATACAGTTTACACCTTCGCTTACCTTGCCAGCCAGTCGCTCCGAGATGATGCCGTTGGCCGACACGAGGCTGTCACTGAGCGTCGTCTTGCCGTGGTCCACATGCGCTAGGATGCAGATGTTGCGGATGCGCTCGGGTGCGTGCTGCAACGCGCCCAGCAGCTCCGGTGTTACACGGGTTGCCATGCTTTTGGGATGAAAATGATGGGCGGGAATAATATTGAAAGATTAAAATGGTGTGAGGTACATAAAGTGCTTTCATTTTTGTGAGTGAGGCTTAAAAAAATCGGCATCATATAACCGGAAGAAAAATGAAGAGCGTAACAACGTTTTCAGACTAGCAACCCCTCTATTTATCAATTGAAACTCTGCGAATTATCACATGGCTCACGAATATCTTGTTTGGATAGCACTTCGAGACACAATCGCTTCATCATCGGCGAGACAATGGCCACCTCATCAGTGCCTCTTATTCTTACCACAACTCCCATATGGAGCAAGCGATCTGCATTCCTTGCCTTGACACTGTCCTTTCCCTCAAGCACCTGTTCAAGAATCCACCACTCGGTGTCATCCAGCTTGTTTAGATCTTGAAGAATACGATAATAGCTTCGATTGTACTCTTTCAGGTACATGGGAAACAGCAATCCAGAGAACCACTTCTCCCATGCTTCGAGCTCAAGATGATATTTTTCTTCATCAGCCGTGAATCGAACAAGTGATCCCAGCACACCGGGCACCCCACCGGAAAGGTCCATGATTCCCACCACAAGTGAGGCTGTAAATGGATAACGCGGCTTAATCTCCATAAAGAAGACACTCATCTGAAGAATTGAGAATTTTTCAGCTTTAATCGTTTCAGAAACATTGAAGGGGCTTGAGTCATCATCGCCGCGATACACCATGTGATGATTTAGCAGCTCGTAATTTCCAACCCCAAGAAACCCCAGGAAGACGCTCGGCGATTGAAATTTCCACACCCGAAGAAGTCCCAGGAAGCTGGTTAACAAATCGGGGTTCTGAAACAAACGATCCATTTCATCCACGATCAGACACAACTTCTTTTTCTCGCGACCAGCGTACGTTGTAACTAGCATCAACAGCGAAGTCGAATCATGACACTCGCTTTCCGCGTCAACCATTTTCCCTAAGTAGCTCCAGAACGTGACCGCGTTACTTGCGATCTCTTTAGAAACTTCGAAATACACGGATATGATGTTCGGATGTCCGCAAAACAACATTTCAATTCCACGAGCGATCGTGCTTTTCCCGAATTGACGAGGGCCATATAGCATATAAATTGGATGATCATTTCCTGAAAAGCCATGTCGAATTCGTTTAAAAGCCTCGATAGTGTCCAAAGGAACGGAGTAGTCGTCTTCCCTCAGTGGTCCAGTGGATGTAATGTATTTCGGGATCTTCTGTTTCTTGGATAAAGGCTCATCCTGCTTGAGTCGTTCATCTCCGCAGATCGTTGACCCAGCGCACAAGGCCGGTTTTTCTTCACCTTTACCAAAATGTGAATTTGATTAGAAGAAGGTTGACCCATTCTGTTCTCCGTAAATAACCAGTTCTTTAAAGTCTTCGTCGCCTCTACAGCTTTCCCACTAGTCACGCCCAAAATCGAGTTGGGAATTCTCCCACTTCCGAGTTCCTCCGAGACCTTGCTTTCAGCTTCCAGCCACTTTCCATCACTCGTCTTGGCCACGAAAAGCTGCACCATCCTCTCGCCAACGTCCTTCAAGCTCTTTCTAGAATCGCCTTCTTTAACTTGCCCACTGAGACGCCCTCGTCCAGTTTCACCATGAACGCACTGTCCGCCTCTCCAACGATCACACCTAAAAACACCAGCATATTATGGCAGAATCTGGAATGATTTCTTAAACCAAAATTTATTGTAAAGTTTACTAGGTATAACTTTTTTTAAATTGATTTGTATCGACAGGTATCATCGCTTTTATTGGAAGCTTACAATTTGACATTGGCCTACTTTGGCCTTTGAACGGCCCTTAATTGGCATTTTCCCTTACCACAAGCAGATGTTTCCCTCCTTAAGATTGCTGCCGACCACGATCATGCTCTCGTGATGCAGTTTCTTTACGAACAAGGTTGGACTGATGGATACGAAGTCGCTATGATGAAAGCTGTCAAGAAGAATAACTTGGCTTCAGTGAAATGGCTACTTCGACATTTTTGGCCAGAAGGACGCGTGTACAAAACTCCAGCCTGGGTAGTATCTCGACTGATCAGCGATGGACACTTGAAGATGCTACTTTATTTGCATGATTTGGACCCAATGATTTTGAAGCGCGCGAGGGAAACTATTCATAGACCAATCCGTGAATATGACACTGATTGGTATCGCGAAGATAATGCAACATACTGGGCTGCGAGAAGTGGCAATTTGGAGACACTCAAGTGGGTCCAAGCCAATGTCAAACAAGAAGTCTCCGCCGAATCCCTAAATACCGCTGCACAGCATGGACATCTGGAAGTGCTAAAATGGCTTCATATTTATTACCCAAAAGCGATCACCAAAACTACCCTGATTTGGGCTGCAAAAAATAATCATCTCGAAGTCGTGCAATGGCTGCACTCAAATTGGGCGGAAGAGTGCGATAAAGAAGTGATGCGCCAGGCAGCGAACCATGGCAGCTTTGCCACTGTTAAGTGGCTGTACGCGAATTGCCCTGAGTCACGTACACCGCTCGCAATTGACGAAGCTATTGAAAATTGCCATATCGACATCGTGTGCTGGTTGCAATCGCGCTTTCCCGATTTCAAAATCGGAAGCAGCAATCGGAGAAAGTACCCACCGATTTGTAGCTTCTCACCAAACTTTTTCGAAACATTACTCTATCTTCACGCCCAGCATAAATACGTGTTTACATCGAAGTTTCGAAAAGGGCTCCGATGGCGTTGTTCGAATCGGACGTTTAAACAAATATCAAATTGGTTGGACGAAAATTACCCTGTTAACGTCTAGCTGGTAGAATCAATACTCGAAATTACCGTTTTTGCATCATAACACCAGTTGTAAGGTAGCAGCAACACTGCGTTGAAAATACCTGAAATATATCTGCTAGAACATTGCTGACTGTCAGTGGTTACCTTTCTTTGGCAGGCCAGTCTCAGGATCTCCGAGAGAACTTCTCACTGAGAAGTAAGGCTGTGCCGCCGTACTGCTCCCTGTCGCACTATTCTGCGTCTCTCGCGTCTCCTTCCGTATACTTAAAAGCGGTTCGTGATGGCGGTGGCGAAGGAGGTTATAAAACTTTGGACTGCGGGTGATCATGAGGTGTAGCAGGCTGACTCAGAGTGGAACTCGATTTCGGGCGCTCGGAAACGTGCCTGATCCCCCAGATCCATTCGTACTCCCTCAATTAAGCACCTTCTCGATCGTCTTGGGGGCTTGATGCCATTTCTTGGTGATCTTGACGTTCTCCACCGTCCGCATGACGACAGGCAGATACTATCGATACGACTCATATTTATCATATTATGAGACCCTGTTCTTGAAATCATGTTAGCTGGTTTTAACATTCCGACTAAAAACACGTTTAACTGTAGGGCATCAATAGGGAATTTCCGTCAAACGTGCTCTCGGAGTTTTGGCCACGGCTTATTTTAGCACAGCCCCACTGATTCTTGTGGTGTCTGTCCTCGTCTTCTATCACACAAGAAACTTCGTCAACAGGCAGACAAGCATTCTATGAGTGTTGGTCACTTTAATCCGATTGAATGAAAATTGAGCTCCTCTTACATCTTATAGCCTTTTATTAATAAACACAAATCTCTGTCTCTACCTAGTTTTTGAGCGTGTATTATTTGATACCCTAATAGAAAAAGTAGTTTTGCCGTTTCGCGAAGCACGCTCGACTCGCTCTCGCACTTGCCAACATGGCAACACTTGCGGACGTCGGGCTGGTGGCCTTGCGCCGCCAGGTACACGCCGAATACGCCTCCCCAGCTCCCCTTGAGAGATTCGAGCGCCTACCCGACGAGGTGGAGGAGGGCAACGTCGAGTATAAGCAGCAACTGCTGGAGCCGTCACCTGACCGTCTACGCCAACTGACAACACAGATGCATTGGCGTCTCAACGAAGGCAGAGGTACCGCCTTCTACGAGGTCGGTGTAAAGGATAATGGAGAGGTGTTAGGCCTCGCAGAGGACGTCATGTTGCGCTCCCTGGGGACACTAGCGCGGTAGGGAGTGTGTACTCATCTTCACATGGCTACAAAACGTTGAAGTGGCCAATGTAGCCATATACTAATACTTGCCTATTACGGACATTAGCATGTGCCGTGTGGTTAATGCAGAGATGTCGCTGTCAAGATTCCGTGCGGGACGTGATACTAGCCACAAGGCAGTCAGGATCCAGGTCACGAGGGTGCTGCAACACAGCGCCACTAAGAGACTTCGAGTATCCTTGATCGGAGATTTTGAGAGTGGAAAGTCAACGCTGGTGGGGGTACTGACACGCGGATGTCTGGACGACGGAGCTGGTCTAGCCAGGATGCAGGTGTGTCGCCATCGTCACGAGCTTGAAAATGGGTGCACTTCTAGTGTCAGCGAGCACACGATCGCTGTTGCTGCAGATGGACACTTCCGTTGTACTGAGGAGCTCCCCACTTGCAACTTTGGCGACAATGACGAAGATACAGAGACGCAAAAGCCCAGAAAACAACAGGAAAGCTTTATCACTCTGAGTGACCTAGCAGGACACAAGAAATACCTGAAGAGTACAGCGTCAGGACTGGCAGGACAGTTCCCAGACTATGCCATGCTTGTGGTCGACGCTGTCCGTGGCGTCCGAGATATGACACGTGAACATCTCAAAATCGCTACTGCACTAAATGTAGCCATCTTCGTGGTAGTAACCAAGACGGATCTCGTGACGGACGAGCGGATACAGCAGTGTCTCGTTGAGGTCGCAGACCTCCTGAAGGCGTTTTGTCCTTGTCAACGACTTCTTTCGGCGCCAACAAACATGGATACATTACAGGACGACCCCGTGAAACTTAGTACAGTACCGGTTTTCCAGATCTCGAACGTAGACGGCATTGGTCTGGACGTGTTGCAAGCGTATCTGGCCATGCTGGAGCCGAAGCGCTTGTGGGCTAACAAAGCCAAGACGCCAGCGGAGTTCCAGGTTACTCAAGCGTACGATATCGAAGATGCAGGCACCATTGTGACTGGACTTGTCCATGCTGGCACGCTGTGCGTAGGGGAGCAGATGCTGCTCGGACCTGATGCTGATGGTCAGTTTTGCGAGGTAGCAGTCGAGAGCATTGAAGTGCAACACAAGGCAGCACAAAATCTAAGCGCTGGTGAGACTGGAGCTGTGCTGATTCGCTTTCTGGCCACCGCTCCGCCTCTCCATCGTCTCAGAAAAGGCACCATGCTCGTCCATCCGAGTGTTCGACCGATGGCTACACGTCAATTTGACGCCGAGTTGCACTTCTTACCGGATGCTCGCGCGTTTCGCGAGAACTTTGAGGCCGTAATTCATACAGGTCAAGTACGACAAATGGCCAAGATCGTGCGACTGACTAGCTCCAGTCCAACCAAACTGCAGCCTGCTACTACAATGTGCCGCTTCGAGTTCATGTACTGGCCGGAATATATCCGTCCAGACTTGCCACTAGTGCTACGTGAAGGGAAAACGCAAGCTGTGGGTCGGGTTGTGCGCGCTGTGCCTATTTTCCACAAGGAACAGCAAGTAACTCGAGTGCCATCCTGCTAAAACGTCACTACTTCACAGCACTTTGTATGCTACCGTAGCCATGTATGCAAGCAAGAGAGATAAAAATGAAATGCAAGTTATTTTTACCTACTTTAATGCATGTGTAGCCATTTACAGATGCTGTTGTAGCCATTTTCGCTGCCTATAAAAAGCAACTCATGCAATTGAAGGAGATCATTTCGCTCGCTCTAAGCCATCAACTCCTTTAAGTTTTGCCAAGAAGACGATTACAACGTGAGTATTACGATGGCATCGTCCAGCGCCGTGGAGGTGCGTTCTGGAGTTAACCACAACACTAAACACCCGAGCACGATGCACTTGGATCTTGAAGAAATCACCACTGGAGACCGCAAACAGGACGATAAAGAGCCCAAGAAGACGAAAATCCGAAAGCGACGTGGACCGGGAGCTCATGCGATTGAAGAAGTGTTTGCGACACTCAGCAATGCTCGGTCGTCGGGGCTCAATCCTCCTCCAGAGCGTATCATACTGACACCTCGATCAGCATAAGCTTGTTTACGCTGTGGGGTGAATCCGGAAACCCTCAAAATCCGCGACTTGGATTCCTTTTACGATCCAGACGTCACGACTGCCGTGCAGCGTATGCGCTACGAAGCGTATTCACTACGCAGACACGAGGAGATGCAGACTCTACGAGCTGAAAAGCGGAAGCTACTCGAGGCGGAGGATCGAGGCGGTGTCATCCCGTCGCGTCTTGTAGCCATTTCAGGCCCCAAACAAGGTTCTCATAGTGCCAACGGGCTACCGTCAAGCTCCTCGAGCTCGTCGGCCACGAAGAATTCCTCGTCCCTGCTGAATATCGAGCGACAACGACTTGAAAAAGTACGACAACGACAAGAACGCGAGCTGGAACAAATGCTCGAGTTCGAGATGAAGATGAACCGACTGCAACAAGAAGCAGCCGACAAGATGGAGCGCGAGAAGCGACAGCACGAAGCCATGGAGCGTTCTCGTGTACGCTTCGCGCAGGAGTTGGCAGTCGAGAAACGAGCTCGAGAGATCAAGAAGAAAACGCAACTGGATGCCGAAGAAGAGCGACGCAAGGAGATGGCTACACAGTTGGCTGCTCGCGACCGCGCACTGGCCGAAGAAAAGGCTCGACAAGATAAAGTACGTCGCCTGGAAGCCAGAGAGCGAGAGGAAGAGCGAAAGATAAAGGCGGAAGAGCACCGAGCTCAGACCGAAGCTCTGCTTCGAGCTCAGCAGACGGAGATCCAGACAAGACTCAAGGAGCTCGACTTGGCCGAGAAAGCTCGTGAGGAAATGGTGGAGCTGCAGCGAGCCGAACGGGCGACGGCGATGGATACAAGACGTCGGGAAGTGACGCAACGGATCCAAAAGAATCTTCGTGCGTCGAAGAAGCTGGAGGCGCAACGAAAGCGAGAAATTCAACGTAAACAAGCTGCTAGTGAGGCGGTTCGACGAGCTCATGAGGAAGAGGAGCGACGTTCACGAGAGCTGCAGACACAGCAGCAGTTGGCGTTGGAGAAGAAACGGCAGTTGGTGCTGGAGGAGACTCGACGAGAAGAAGCTCGGAGGAGACAAGAGCTGCTGGAACGTCAGCGGGAAACCGAGCGCAATGTGCAACAAGTGCAGAGAAGCCAGGAACAGCAACGAGCTCTGCGGAGTGAGTACCGGAAGCTGCAGGCACAACTCAAGGCGGATAAGGTGGAGCGGATGAAGAGGGTGCAAGAGTATCAACGACTGGAGATGCTGCGGAGACTAGAGGACACGGAGGCACGTACGCAGCACATGCTGAACGAGAAGGAATCGCTCGTGACGCGTCGTAAACAGCTCGCCATTCGGACCAAGATCCAGCGAGATCTCATCATGCGGACGATGGAGAACGTCAAGATCACCAAGAAATGGCATCAAGCCTCCAAGACGATCGAGAAGGTGCTCAACGAAGGGAATACGAACCGATCTGGGGGCTCAGCGAACGTCTCCGAGCGACCGAAGTCGAGTTCCGGTATTGTCGGGAGACAGACGTCCCTGCCGACTCTGAGTCAGCCTACGACGCCTCATAATCACTCGCAGTCAAAGGTTTTCCAACCTCCTTCGCCACCGCCGACACGAACCGCGTTCAAGTTCTCAAAGGAGACGCAACAGACGCAGAATAGTGCAGCAGGGAGCGGTACGGCAGCACAACCTTACTTCTCACCGTACGATGCGGCACCTGAGGTTGGTATGTCCAAGAAGGGTAAGCACGTACAGTCAGCAGTCTTCTAGTGAATGGATTTTATGTATTTTCAAGGCAGGCAAAGTATTTAGCTTCTGTATTTTCAAGTAAAATGGAAGTATTGATTCCACCAGCTAGGCGTTAGCAGGGTAATTTTCGTCCAAAATTTGATACTTGTTTAAGATTCCAACATGAAAAACATGACAGATGCGCTCGGAGCTCTTTTTGAAACTTTAATGTAAACACGTATTTGTGCTGAGTGTGAAGATAGAGTAGTGCTTCGAAACAAAGATGGCGAGAAGCTACATATCGGTGGGTACTTTCTCCGATTGCTGCTTCCGATTTTGAAATCAGGAAAGCGCGATTGCAACCAGCACACGATCCACGAGAAGGGCTCGTGCACCATCACCAACGAGTCCCAATGCAACGGGCAGAACTGGACCGGTAGCACTTGCTGTGCCGATTCTAACTACGAGTGCCGCCCGTCGGATGACGGCCAGAATGTGCAGCGCTGCCAGAAGAAGAAAACCCCGGGGGGAACCGGCACCACCGGCACTACCGGCACCACCGGAACCGGTAGCGGTGTCGCCGATTGGGGTGCCTGCACTGGCGGACTAGCGTGCAAGAACCCCAGCAGTGTCTGTGTCAAGCACTCTAACTACTACTCGCAGTGCAAGCCTGGCACGCTACCGGCTGGTGAATTGTGCGGCCAGAATGACGGCACGAATGTGTGGAAGTACGACAAGTGTCCGAGCAACCAGGGGGCTCGGACTTCCGCTGCACCAACAAGAAGCACCACAAGAAGATTCCCCAGACGGATGAATCGTGCACCATCACTAACGAGTCCCAGTGTGACGGACAGAACTGGACCGGCAGCACATGCTGTGCCGACCCTGCCTACGAGTGCCGAAAGTCGGATGACGGTCAGAACGTTAAGCGATGCCAGAAGGTCGCTCACGCTGACTCGGAGGATAGCAACAGTGACGACGACTACAGCCACTCTGACGACGGTAGCTACATTGAGGGGGACGTCGAGTACTCGAGCTACGTGGACGACTGGGAAGACTGCACTAGTATTGATGTCGGCTGCTCGAACCCGACGAGCTACTGCGTCCTCCACTCGCTGCATTACGCGCAGTGCAAGCCTGAAACTCTTCCGCAGGGAGAGCTCTGTGGCCAGAATGATGGCACCAATGTGTGGTGGTACCCATTCTGCGCGACAGGTGAGAGCTGCCAGCCCAAGGGAACAGACTTTCGCTGCGCCAAGAACAAGAAGCGCCACCACCACCACCGTCGTGCGTAAGTATAACGCGGCGGACTGGTTCACGAGGCGCTTTACTAAGATGTAGCAGGTTTCCGGTGCTGTGCACTCCTTCATACTCTCTGACTTAGCTGTAAGTGACGGAGCTCAGCTCTTCCACATGAATATCATTTGATGAGTTTGTTCTAGTGTAAGATCCCTGCTGGGTTTTATCAGTTTTTTAAAGCTAATATAACTGAGCAAAGAATCTCATATTTTATAGAAAATGTTTTATAAATAGAATCTTTGCTGTGATTTTTGATAAACTTAAAAAGTGGTCTTTAAAAACATGTTTTCTGCGAGGTACTAAATTTGAAAATCCTGACACGTTGGGTTTTATTAGCTTTAAAGAAACGTTTTTTTATATAACTCTCATACTTGATATAATTAAAATCGATGTATCAACTCGGATCTTCAGATAGCGGTTCTTCTATAGATTTGACGTGTCAGATCCTAAAAGCCAGGGCAATGGGTTGCTGGCATGGAAATCAGTCCGTGTAGAGCCCACTTCACAATCTACCGAGCAAGTCTCATCCAGCTTTCAAGGCCTCACTCCAACCCCAAATATGAAAATCATCGCTCTCGCCGTCACCATGATCGCGACGCTTTCAGTCGTTAACGCAACCGAGCAGGCGTCCGTCCACCTGCGAATCCACAGCAAGAATTCGTGCACCATCACCAACGAGTCTCAGTGCAACGGTCAGAACTGGACCGGCAGCACCTGTTGCGCGGATCCCAACTACGAATGCCGCTGGGATACTAATGGCCTGGTCCAGCGCTGTCAGAAGAAGAATGGGAATGGGAACAATGGGAACAATGGGAACAATGGAGGGTCGTGCACGATCACCAACGAATCTCAATGCGACGGACAGAACTGGACCGGCAGTACTTGCTGCGCCGACTCAAGCTACGAATGCCGCAGGTCCGACGATGGCCAGAACGTAAAGCGCTGCCAGAAAAAGCATTGGTAAGCGTCGAGGCAATGAGGATACAGACAGCGACCCGGTCCACTTCAATTTGTTTACATCAACAGCAAATTGCTCTGTCGAGGTATCCCTTTCGCAAATAAATATAACTCGACGTGCTTTTTAACCAAATCCTACTAATTTCGGCACTTTTTTAAAGCAATTCTGACGGAAATTAAGATTTTACTTCGAGTATTACGAAAATTCTGCAATTTTACAAGCAGCGAGTAGAAAACACGTTGTGTAAAACTAGCGGCTAGAGATCTCCATCAGGAACACTAACAGGTACTCTCATTACCACCCAGGTACAGTACCAGGGTGGTTATGAAAGTGTCAACCGTAAGCACGTCGTAGGAAAGTAAGTCACAAATGGCTTTCAGTTTTAGCTAAGATGCATCTTGGTATCTTGTTCAACATTCGTCGAAATGGACGCGGCAGTCGAGCCGCACTTATTGATGCAGCAGGTGTGGAAGTCATCGCCGGAGTTACCTTCGTCACGGCATACCTTGCTGACTGCAAGGTTCGCTTCTGAGTATAAGGTCTGGCAGCCCGTCGAGAAATTACAATACGGCGGTGGCTTATAGAACGGGTCCCCAGCCGTGACGGCGGTCGCGACGACACCGAAGAGGGCGACGAAGGTGTGAATCTTGAACTTCATCAGGGAGCTCGCGGAGGTGTGTGCGGTGTTCAGCAACTAATGGACTGACTTGAAGAATCAGGGAGCATTATGGTGATTACCAACGGCGCAAACAAGTTTGCATATGTTGGTTACGTAATAAGAAAATAGCTCGGTCAAAATGTCGTCAGAACAACGACATCCTTACTAGTAAAGGATTCCTTCGCTGTCGTGATACTGTACACGTTTGATTGCGTGCTATAGAAACAGATTGCTAACGGGAATTTTAGAGTGTTTGTGTTGTACTACAGTTAAACTACACAAACACTTTAAAATTCCCGTTAGCACTCTGTTTCTTAAAATATCTTAAACGCTAGAGCAATTTTGTCGGCTTAGTGGCGCTGCTTGATGTACACGTCGTCAATCCTAGAGCTAAAGCCCGACTGTTTTATTTATGTAGGCAGCGCACTCCATCTTTGCTGGAAGAAGATGCGTCGGTAGAGGTGACAACAACTGGTCGAGTTTAGAAGCACAAGTAGACAAACATGTTTGTAAACATCGTTAATTGTGCGTAATATGAATCGCAAACACGTCTGCGGAATACGCTGCTCTTACCGTGTAAGTTACACTATTAATACACCATTTCCCGGCCAAGTTACCAGTTTTACCAACCATCGTGCAAATGGCCCGTTCTAGTGAGATCTCATTTAAGGCTGTGTGGGGCTCTATGTATTTGACCAGGTTTGCAACCTGCTTGAAAAGTGTGATGGGCAGAAATGCAAGTCGTGGGAAAAGTGGCTTTTTCTTGCAAATCGCCAAATGTCGTAGCCTAAAATTAAAAATGGTGTGTCTCCACACAGCCTTAAATTAGATCTCACAAGAACGGGCCATTTGCACGATGGTTGGTAAAACTGGTAACTTGGCCGGGAAATGGTGTAGTACGGTGTCAGATACTAGGTTTACTTATTTGCATTTGAATCAAGCCGGAAGCACATAAAAAAACTCAAGAGCAGTGCCCGTTGCAAAAACGCGCTTTGACAGTTTCTTATTAGCTCGTTACTTACATTATATTTATAATTGACAGTACTTTTGACTTGATCATGTATGCAATTGTCTACCAATCATGCTGTAAAAAATGACATACGAGCTGGAGCACGAATCTGTGCTCCCGGATTTTATAAAGAGCAGAGTTTTGTAAAGGTTCTCCGCTCGTTCGATGCTTGAAAGCTGAAGCCGGTAATTGTAACCGGTATGACAGCGGCATCGATACCAGTATTTCCAGTGCGTATTTTCATGGGAAATACTATACCGGTAGCACTATTTTCATAGTATTAATTTCTGTGTTTGAAATCATTCTAATAATTAGAAAAGGACCGGGAATTATTTTTCCGGAGAGTCCTTCCGCATCAATTACAAAAAATCATACGTCACCGCTCTCGTCGTCACGAGTACTCAGTAGACAACACCAGGGACAAATTAGTATTTGGGGGCGTAATGTAACGCCGGATAAGTAAGACAATAGTCCCCAAAGATCGAACAGTCCGCGGATACAGGCGTGTGGTCACGTAAATCTATGTCACACCCAAAACGATGAAGCAAACGCAGGAAATGCTGTGTCGCGATGTATGCTACACCAGTTGTAGTGGGGCGACAGTTTTCAAGACCCGGTCACACACTGCGCTGGAGATCTAGGACGGTCCCATCTGTTGCTGGCGTAGAATAAGACTGAGAGGTGGGTAGATTTGAGGCAGCCAGCTAGAGAGTGCTGTAGGTATCTGACTACCTTTTCAACTTCAAAATGGCGACAGGTAAAATCAAAGTGACAAAACGTAAGTTCAAAGTGACATGACACTGACACTTAATATTTATGGGAGTATTTACGTTTGGAGTTCATTAGATGAAAGAGGCAAAAAGTGGCGGCAACTACTCCCGCCAATTTTGGTGGACGCTGGCTGGCTGTACGGCGTCGATGGAATCAGTGGACACTGTTGCTGCAGTTTGTGACCGCACTGCCTTTCATTCATGTAGCAATTCTCACTGTGCTTCCTACCCACACAGCAATGCTGTACGACGACGCTACCGTTCGACGGGTTCTCCGTGCAGCTCACGAAGGCCAAGATTGGCGCGATGTCGCGCCATCGTCAAGCTATTCTACGCGTCCCACCGCACCTCACCATCAAGGCGCACCGTGAAAGCTACCTAAAGCTGGCTGCAGACCTCCTCGTACTCGAAGCTATCACCCCAGAACTTTGCTACAAGTGCTCGTTGCACACCATGAAGTTCCATGCGCGTGCGATCCAGATGAAAGATATGCCTGTAGGAGAATAAAGACAATATCAAGAATAAAGACAATATCAAGTTTGGCTTTGCTGGCTCCTATGTTCGATGTCACTTTGAACTTACGTTTGTCACTTTGATTTTACCTGTCGCCATTTTGAAGTTGAAAAGGTGTAGAATCTCTCCTATATTATTCTGGAAATAGCAGACAACAATGCAAGCAAAATTTCTAAGGAAGCGCCAGCTTCCGTGGTAACTGTGTTCCTTCGGATCCCACTACAAAGCTAGCTTTAGTGCTCAAGAATCCCAGCTACGTCTATGAACATGATACCTGCTGCTGCGGCAGCTCAGCAAGCACTGATCGAGTGCTACGATTGAGGCAATCGGTGGTAGTTTCAATTCCACAAGCGGTCAAACTAAGCCAACTAAAAGCAAGGACAAGAAAGGCGGTCGTAATGCAGGCGTGAGCAGGACCTGATAGACGAGAGTCTCATCAGCGGGGGGAGAAGTAGTTCATTATCGAGTTTGGCCAGTATGGAACGTGACCCCCCTACATGGTGTATTGAAAGTTTGCTGTGACGGTGGAGGACATCTTGCATGAAACGCACACCCGATAGGTTGATTATCGTCTGACGTACAAAGCGATCGTGAGGGCGGGCTTAAAGTCTGTCATGCGTTCGGTGAAGAACTCGTTTGATGGCATCTTCGGATATTTATCCGGATAATGATACAACGAGCGATCAATTTATCAGAAGAAGATACAATGAATCTGATTGGCCAGAATAAAATGGCGAGGTCTTTATATTTGCACTAGTTAAAATTAATCCTGTTTGGGTATTCTGAGGTATTCCCAGTATAAACCTTTTGTTAGTACGAAGGTTGGTAGAAAAACCAACAACTGCAGACATAAGCTTTCGCCGGTTAGGATGCGCTCCTCAGAGGGTAAGGCGCATAAGTTTGATCTGAAATCTTGCTTTGGATATGCAGAACCTGACCAGCACATACACTTTGTGAGTTTGGAGACGGCAGGTTCTTTTATCAAACACTACGCCTTTAACATAAACAAAAATGCCGAGGGGAAGAAAGGAGGTGGCGGGACCCACGTAAAATGGCTGTGTTCTGAGCACAAAAACGGTTGTAGCTGGTTTATAGCTTTGTCACGCAAACGTCAATCGAAAATTAATGAAGAAGCGACCATGCAGCGGCGGAAAAAGCCTACAACTAAACTCTCACATATTCCAAGTGGATCATGGTATATCTCTAAGGCCCTGTTCCGCAGGTACAAATTCCAGCGGATTGAGGCCATTTCAGCGGAATTTTACCATCCAGCGGATCACTCAAAACTCTGCGTGCTCCGAATGCGGATTCGAGAGCAAATCGATTCGAAATCTTCTATCCTCTATCCGCCCGAATTCGGTCAGATAGAGTTTTATTTTAGCGAGTGGACTGACAAAGCCCTGTAATAGCAAATATGATCTGCGTGGAATAGCCTCGCAGACTTTTATACATTGTGCACGTGCTGGGCATTACTGTAAATTGTTCAGTGGTGTAAAACTAGCTACACTACGACCTCACCGTATCTTCCACCAAGAGTCACAAGGTAGTTCTGCCACATCATCGATGCTATTTCATCTCGAAGCTTCTTCATATCGCTGTCGTCCGTAGCGTCCGTATGTGTGTCCCCTGCGTCTTCTACTTCGTCGCTTACGTTTTCGGTTTCCCTGGTGGACCCGTCTGAGTCTGAACATTCATCGCCATGGCGACGAATGAAGTTGAAAATTGCGAACGCGGCCTGTATTAGACCTATCTGGTCTGCAAGCGCATATGAAGTCATGTGTAGCAGAATTGGAAACTTGAATTTGATAGCTCCGTACGCTCTTTCGATAACGTTTCTCAGCGATGAATGACGCAGATTATACAACTCCTCTTTTGTCTGTGGTTTCTGCTGACCATCGCCGAACTCTTTAAGATGATGACGTGTTCCTCTATAAGGAGTCATTGTGTAGCTGGTTAACGCGTAGCCAGCATCTCCTAAGTAGTATTTACCTACACAGGCCGCATCAATAGGAAAATTAGGTAAAGTTTTTTTCATGACAAGTGAGGTTACGTACCTTTCGGGATATGAAAATTGTGACTAACAGCATCTTTTAGTACTCGACCGTCATGTGCAGAACCTTCCCAGCCAGGGAGGATATACACAAATTCCATTGCAAAGTTACACGCCCCAAGCACGTTACTGGAGTGAAAACCTTTTCTGTTTCTGAACCGCGGCGCAATTGAAGCGGGAGGAACCACTGGGATGTGAGTTCCATCTACAGCTCCCAAGCAGTTTTTGAAGTAGGGGAAGAACTTTGCAGATTGCTGAATCTCGACGGGGGTTGTACTGTTGGGGAGACAAACGAATTTATCCCATCGAGCCTTAATTGCTGCTAAACATTGCCGAACAATCCTGCCTATTGTCGCCGGCCCATGTTGAAATCGATCTTGTGCTGCTCGATTACTTTTTCCGGTAAGTATGAACAGGAAAATTAGTAAGCGCTCTCCGCTGTGAATTCTGGACGTTGATGGTAGCAATCGGGTAGTTTCTAATTCACGAAGTAGCAAATGAAACGTTTGTACACTCATACGAGCGACATTCGAGAAGCGTATCGGACTTCGACTGTTTAACAGCTCCTCGTAGTACATAGCGCCGCTTAGTATCGATGTACAGCAACCCTCTTTTGCAAAATGAGCTCGAATATACGACCAGTACGACGTTAGTCCTGTCATAACGAGCACAATCTGATCTTCTTCTCCGTCATCCGATATGTTGCCTTCCTCATTGGATGCGTCCATAGCACAATTAGGGAATGGTTCGATGAGCATTCTGGATGAAATTGTCGGCATCATAAGCCAATAATAGAATATAAAAACAGGTATTGCACCCACAGTAATATCTTTGCGCTAAAACTAAAAATATCCAAACTCTCAACCAAGGTTTCTTTTTGGAGAGTCTGTTTTTTTGGGAGGGCCTACGAATCATTGCTGGACCCGTTTCAGTTGTCGAAAGCCAACACAGCTCCGGCATCATCAGCTTTGTGAGCTATGACATTTGGCTGGACTGAAGACCTTACAGCTCGCTTCATCAACGCTGTCTTAGATGAAGTCGTGCGGCTTGGTGATTCATACAATGGAAACTTCAAGAAAGCGAATTGGAATCGCATTGTCAGAGCATTCAACGACGGGCTATTGACCGGCCAGACACGAGATCGAAAGCAACTGCAGAGCAAGATTGCAGAGCTGAAAAAGAAATACAGGACATACGCTGCAATGAAGGCAAACAGTGGGTTTGGGTGGGACCCCACCACAGGGATGCCTACGGCTCCAGATTCTGTGTGGGACGACTTAATCGCTGTGTACCCTCAAGCAAAAGAATTCAAAAGCAGACCTCTCTTTATGTACCACGAACTGGACATAATTATGTCTCGCACCGCTGCAACCGGTGCATTCGCTGTTTACGATGAGCATATTATAAGCCTTGCACGACCGGCACCGTCGTCTCTGAGTGGACTAAGCAACGACTCCGGCGATGAAGGTTCGACTGACGATAGAAGTGCAGCAGAACGAGAGGCATGCAATGTCGAGCAACAATACAGATCTCAGAACATATCAGGGCTCAATCGCAATATCGATAACGACAGTGGAGGGTCAGAAACAACTGATAGAAGTCGATCCTCTCGCCGTCAAAGTACAGATTACGTGTCAATTGTTGGACCTTCACCTAAACGACTTAAGACCACTGGGGAAAAAATGAGCGATTCGATGAGAGCTATGGCTGACGCGCAGAAGGTGATTGCGGCCTCTATCAGTACTCGACACATCAAAAGCCGACACCTTACCTGCACGGACGAAGCAATTAAAATCTTTAAGGATATGTTTACGGACGAAGTCCCAGTTCACCAGCGCTTCAGGTTCATTAAGCTACTAGCAACTCAACCGAACGCGGCAACCATGTTTTATGGGATGGACGACGAAAGCCGCCGATATATGGTAGAGCAGTACCTGCTGACGGACAATTCAGACTCAGATTGAATCTGAGATCTTTTTGCTCATCTCTTTTTCTAATAAACTTTATTTTCTTTTATAATTTCACGTATCATATTGCAGAGTTTCGTTACACGGCAAATAGATTGAAATCTGGGTGTTCCGCATGCGGTTCCAGCGGATTCTCCGAAACAGCGGAATGTCTCAACCCAGAGGAAAAGCAAATCCGCTGTTCACCTCTAGAGGTTTTGCGGAACAGGGCCTAAAATGGAGCTAAACACGCACAACTTTGCCCTGGGATTGCTGTAATGACTGCTGAGTTTCCGCTGGAGCATCTTGGTTTTCGTGGAGCTATTCTTCCTGGTCATAGCACTTCACTAGCGCGGGTAGTAAAGACAATGAGTGAAATTTACGGTGTCGACATTTCCAAGCAACCTGCAATGGCCTACCGTACCATTACACAAGCAAAAAAACAGAACCCATTTGACCCGGTAGCTGAGTACGGACGCCTTCCTAGTATCTACGCGAGTTTGCACTGAATAACCCTGGTTCACGGGTTTGTTGTCAGTTGGACTCAAAGGGAATGTTTTATAGAGCCTTTTTATCTATTGGTAGTGCTGTGAATGTGCAAGACGCATTTTTACCTGCTTGGGAGTGCGATGGCACGCACATGAAGGATCCGTCGTACAATGGCATTTGTTTGACAATTATTGGTATAGACGGGAACAAGCAAAATGTGCATATTACAGTGGCCTACGTTCACAAAGAGACCGTCGACAACTTTGCCTGGTTTTTCGGGAACTGTATTGTCGCTGGTATAAAGATGAGCATTCGGCCTGCGTTTTGCGACAGAGGAAAACAGCTAGCAGCTCAAGCCTTGTTGCTTCGCATCAACATGAAAATACACTTGAAGTTCTGCACACTGCATATCAGGTTTAACACCATGGACAAATTCAAATCTCTGAGGTTAAACTTGAAGTCCGTAAACGACGATATTTTTTCGCTTTAAGGCGCTTCAACAACCGAAGGGTATGAGCTCATCAAAAAAAAAATAGCATCCAAGCATCCTGCCGGAATTTCAAAGGTTTTCGCGGGGAAGATCGTGGAGGAGCACGTTTGGAGCTACCTTAGCAGTATTCATCCCACAGATTGGTGTGTTGTCGGTAATATGAAGGCAACAACAAAGGAATTAAAGTGGATAGACGATAACTGGTCTTCTGTCCCAAAGCACGGCGACGCTTTGCCTCTGTTTGGTATCCGCACTACGAGTGCTGTCGAAGGAGAGAACAACGGGCTACTATGGGGACGTGTGCGGACCCAACTTGTGCTAGGTTCAGTCATGACGTACTGTACAAGAGCACTCAAAGTTTTGCAGAAGCGTAAGAAGCTCGTCCAGGAGTGGAATAGTGCAAGTTGTGATATCACTCCTCACGCTCTGAAGGAGTTCGAAAAGGAGAAAGAACTGGTAGCTCATCAGACAGTCGTGCAAAGAGACGAATCTCTCTTCTACGTCTTTGACGCCTTCGGTAGCCGCGGTTTAGGTGGGGACGCACATCTCTACGAAGTAAACATGGATTGTGGAACTTGCACTCGATGCACTGTTGCTGAACAAATGCAAGTCCCTTGCCGTCACATGCAGGCAGTCGCTTTCTGGAGATCAAGGCAGACAAATAGTGGACTTCCGGACTATGATGTCAAGCACTACTTCCATGAAGCTTACACTGTGTCGAAAATGGTAGAGGCCTTTGACTTCACTGTTATCAGTCTTCCTCTGTTTGACGAACTTGAGCAGACAAACGAAGTCAAGCCCCCACCGTTATATCGTCAAGCTGGTCAATCACGCAAGCGCTCGAAAGAAGCCAGAGACTTTGCAACCGGTAAAAGAAGAACTCCAAACCGAGGTGAATGTGCTGGGTCAACGGCTCCAATAGTTAGTCAGTGTGTGTCTAGTGATGTACACAGCGATGATGATAGCAAGGCAATTGCAGAGTTTTTCAACTCGCAAGTGAAGGGCGCGCGGAGAAGCAAACGAGCAACGTACACATGCAGCCGCTGTAAAGAAGCCGGTCATAACGTGAGGAGCTGCACGACACCACTGATGGAGATAGAGGTAGCTGGAGTAAGTACCGTGCCAGGTATTTACGTTGTTGTAGAATGTCTATTCGTTGCCTGTGGAAAAAGCGAAGAATATGAAAGGGAGATCAAAACCTACAAGTAAACAACGGAATATACACATAATATTGAAAATAATTAACGCTAGGTAATGAATGCCATGCCTGAAGGTGCAATAAAGTTCTTCCATCCAAGGCTGTCAGTGTCAACTAGTAGACATTTAATGCAGTATCGTGTGCGAGAGATTAGAGCTGACAACATGGTGATGCAGATTTGACGCGTACCTCTGTATGTGAGCGGGGTTAGAGCACTATCGGCCAAGCTTGAGCGTCAATGTGCTCGCTTCGGCACCAATTATCAACACTTCAGAAACCAACAGCTGCATATCCAATGTCAGCAACAACGAAACGCTCAACACAACGAGTTGTCCGACCCACACATCTGCGTTTTTGCTCCAGCTGAGTAGAATGCTGCTCTGGACGATATTCACCCTGCTTAATGCCTGTTAAATAACGTCATTAGTTTAGTCACATTAAATCCACTCGAGAAGTCAATCTACACCTTGAACCGCCCACGGAAATTTCTTCGTCCATAACTGGTGCAGTGTACAAACTATCACGATGCACATTTTGTGTGCGTGGTGGTGAACTGCGCGCGTGACGTCGAGGGACCCACGCGTCGACAATAGCCCTCTGTTGACGGTGGCTTCCTGTTCCACAAATATTTATGATATTCCCCAAGGTTTTTATTTTTATGAATGAATGTAGCACATATTATTCTGGCCAATCAGATTCATTGTATCTTCTTCTGATAAATTGATCGCTCGTTGTATCATTATCCTGATAAATATCCGGCATCTTCCTCGAGACAATCTTCGAAACCAAATGGGATAAAGCAAAGGAAGGCCTCACCGATGAGTTCATCTGGAGCTGGGTAGTGACACCGGTAGAGGTTTTATAAATAACGCTTTATCGAGCATTGACGAGCTGCTCTAAGACCACCTAGTAGTCTGATGTTAATACACACGTGATGGACTACTTCCACCTGTGCATTATTAAAGTGAAGGCAAACGCTCTGACGGTCCTGCTATTAGAGAAGGACGGGACTAAGAACAAAAAGCAAGGTTTTGCGCAACTGCCTGCCT